CTTGCTGCGTGCACAGAGACCTCTGTGCCCAGTCTGAAACCCAATCGCACTGGCCGCACGGAGGACGGACTGCTGGGGTCTCCATTTCACTTCTTTAACCCACCACAATCCCCAATCCCTCCCCCTTTCCTTCCCGTTCCCCAAGGGACTCTATTATACCCCCCGATCTGTTCACACTCCTTATCCCTCTGCGTGTTTGCACACACTGCTGACCCAGCCTTTATCTGGAAGACATAAGGGTCTCTGTGTGGAGTTCCCACAAGGGCTATTAATCGTGTAGATGTCAGAGTCCCCCGGCTCCAAACCCTCCCTTCCTGCTCCTCCCCTCTTCTTCCCTTCCCCCCGCCCTTTTTGTGCTCTCTGGAGATCAGGGGGAAAAAAAAAGTTTTACGAAAATTCACACACAGAGCTTGCAAACTTTGCAAAATATGATCTGCTCCCCTGGGCAAGGTTGGTAAATGGTGCGATTTCTCCTAAAACACCAAATACAAACACACACACACACACTGCTTCCTCCTAGGCAAACGGAGGAATTTCCTCCAACAGAAAACAGAGAGCTAAATGCCTTGCCAAGTTAGGGAAAATTTGGCTCCTGGTCCCAACCTGGATGGAAACCCTCCAGCTGGTACCTCTGCAACGGGCCAAATCCAAACGGCACATCTGCAAATCCATGGGAACGTGGGAATCTGCAGAACTGGGTTTAAGGCTCAGATCCTTGTGGACGTGGCTCCAGAGAAGAAGCACGTTCACGTCACCACCTTTCAACGCCCTCATCCCCAGCACTGCCATCTCCTTCCCCGAGGTCAAAAAGAAGCTGTTGCCACCAGGCTGACTTGCCATGCATGGAGTCTAGTCCTTACCTGAACTCGAGCCTCGGTGAGCTTGGTTCTCTGAGCGAGCTCCTCCCGCGTGTAGATGTCTGGGTAGTGGGTCCTCTCAAAGGCCTTCTCCAGCTCCTCCAGCTGCTCAGCGGTGAAAGTGGTTCGGCTGCGGCGTTGCTTGCGCTTCAAAGGCAGGTCTGGTTCAGATTCGACGTCAGAGCCTTCATCCAGCCTGTTACCTGGGGTGGGAAAGAGACGGGAGATGAGGCTTGCATGATGAAAAGCCATTGGGAGAAAGGCTGTTGGAAGAGTTAAGCATCCCAGCAACGTAATCTTGGTTCTACTGTCATGGTGTCCATCAAAACAAATACTCTGTTTGTGTACAACACAAGTTTTATGCTATTTCTGTAGTTTCCTATTATTATTTTTTTCTCACATCATAAAAAGACAACCCATGAAAATCAGAACTGTTTGCAGGAAAAGGGATGGCTCAAAGTCCCCTATTCAAATTGCTACAGAGAAAAAACTTCCAGTTGTTGACTTCAGTCATTTCAAGAAATTTCCAATTTTTTATTTGAAATTATGATTTCAGAGTTGCACGTTTTACACTGAAAAAATGTAGAAGCTGAAATGAGCGCATAAAAACGTCAATACACAACACTTTGACCTGTACAGCCTAATCTCCTCTTGTGTTTTGTCAAGTATCAATGTTTAAGACTTAATTTTTTTTAAATCACCTTAGAAAGAAAAAAAAAGAAAAATCAGGCATTTTTACAACTGGGAAAAATATCTCCAGCTCTGCTTCCTCTGTAGGTTGGGCTGCCCACAGGTTACAGTTCGTCTTCTCTTAACGTCCCAAATTTAAAAAAAATGCACAAGGCCGGATTCCGACAGCATTAAGATGCCATGGAAGTCCCTTTCCTTTGCCTAACTGGTCACTTACTTCCTCCACCTTCACTTGCTCTGGACCTCTGCCGTTCCCTTCTCCCTGCCTAGAGCCTGGCACCACATCTATTGCCTCCTGAGGCCCTCATCAAACCCAAATAAATACAGTTGCAGTAAGTAAGCCTAGTTTTGCTCTTTTTTTTTTTCGTCTGGAGACAAAGCAGAAGACACAACATTGATATTCACTAAATCTACAGTCAGACCCAGTGGGTTTTAGAGGGGTCGCACCAAGACCAGCGTTAGCTGTGGCTCTGGTGTTTGCCAGAAGCCTTTCATGGAGCAAAGTTTGGGTTTCAAAGATGCACAGGTTCTCGGTTCCCTGCGGTGCAGATGTTCATGTATGGAGGATCTCAGCCAGGCCAAAACGTTGTGTCTGCCTTTGGGACAGTGAAAAACGTGCCACTGGTTCGCAGCAGCAGAGAAGGAAGAGTATGACATATGAAACCTTTCAGCTAGGTGAGAGACCTGGCCTCTGGCACCTTCTCTCTCATGAAAACAGGAGACTCAGTAAATGTGGACTTGTTTTTTTCCCTGCCAGGCTTGACTGCTGTCTTTCAGAGGAGCTGCACAGGCAGACTGAGCCAGAATCTGCTTAAACACTGTGCTCACAGAGAAGGATTTTTTCTTTTGGGTAAAGCTTTGCTAATTTAGGATTAAAGCAGGACTTACGTACACTCATCTTGACAACAAAGTTCCCTCAAGTTACTAACAGCGTTTTTCAGTCCTCTCCTTTTTGTTCAGCTTCATCATCCAAAAATCTGCCTTTTTCTTTTCAGAGCTGGGAATGGCAGCTGTGACTTCCCCGACAGCTGCTCAAGAGTGGCGGCAGTTTGAGGAGTAGGAGGCAAATATCCCATCGGAGCTCTCTTGTTTACGCTGAGATCACCGCAGAAGGCCATTGCCTTCAGCAACACAAAAATGCTTTTATGTCTTGGGGCTTCACGGGGAGGATGTGGTGCCGGAACTCGGCTGACTACAGTTGTGCTGGAGTCAGAAACTCTGCTGCAGGGGACTGGATGGCTTGCTTTGGGGCAAACACATCACCTTCAGAGGTCTTGCCTTCTTCTAGCTCTGGCTTACCAGCACATCGGGTCTTTAGACACAGTCATCATTATAAATCAGGAACCCTTTACTTCTCACTGAAGTTGGTGAGAAATTCATTTTTTGACTTCAGAGCTGCAGCGTCTGTCCCGCATTTTAAAGACAGTTTTACTGTACACAGCAATTTGTTACTAAATCAGATTTTTGGTGATGTCCGTTTTCAGGGAAGGTCTAGAGTCTCAAGTGGTGTAAGAAGAACATCTGTACTTGAAAGTAACAGCCCTCCACATCTGGATCCCAGATGATTCGGGACAGGTAGAAGCACATATGGACCTTGGAGTACCATGCTGCTTAAAAGCATATCTGGAAACCTATAGCATACAGTAAATTTCTTTGAGTTAATCACTTAAGTCACCAACTGCTATTGGTTTAATTAGTATCTTTTCTGGAAATATCTGGTAGGAAAAAAGTAAGGACAGAGGTGTGTTTGTGTCCAGGATGCCAGAGGGCCAGTGTGAGGAAGGGGAAGGAAAATACACTAAATTTAATGTCATTTAACTCTGCAGCTGAGCATATTTCTTCATAGTTAATACTATAAAGTATTAAAAACTACAAACATATTAAAAACTACAAATATAATATTTCTGCATAGTCAGCATGCATGCTTAGTAGCAACTTTCAGCCTGTGAGCTCTGTAGCACAGGAATTGTCATTTGTGGCATGTTTCACACCTCATGCAACGAAGTCCCAACCTGTTTGGCAAATACTATGGTGACAGCAATGTCAAAGTGACTCTTTTAAGATGTAACTCTTCTCTTGGCTGCTTGATAGCCATGTGGTAACCTCTACCTACAGCTCATCCACTCAATTGGTCCAACTGCTTACAGAGTATACAACAAACCTGGAATTCAGTATCTCCCCAAGTGAGGAAAAAAAAGTCTAGAAAAGGATGTGTAACATTTATCTCCCACACTTCACTTTGCTCCCTTTTTTGGCTGCAAAAGTCTGGAAGGGAAAGCAGCCAAACTTTCTTTAATAGCTTTATGCTCCTGATTTCGGATCCCTGCTTCGGCTACCAAGTTTTGGGAGAGGAAAACTGATTGTCATGAGTAACAATCTGCCTTGTTCACAGCAGCACTGGTGACTGTGCTGGCCATCATGCTGGCTATGGGGGTTACAAGGGTGGAGAGGCAAACCTTGGCACACGAACTGACGTAACGCTTTCTATCCGCGAGCCTCCAAACAGCTCCTGGCTGGCATTATCTCCGTTTCACAACCGTGGCAGGGATGGTGGAAGTCACCTACCTACGGTCACCCTGTGAGTCAGGAGCAAAGCTGGGAAAAGAAGCCACAGCTCCTCGTGCCAAGTCGGAGGCTCCAACAACCCGACTACAAAGATGAAACCGAGAGAGCAAGAAAAATCCCAGGGTATGTCTGGAACCAGCTGGTGTTAGAATGATGCAGCTGCTGCTGTCAGACACAGATTCATTAAATAATATAGAAAGTCTTTCAGTTGAGACAGACTGCAGTACCAGCCTATTATCTAATACATCCCCTATTGTCAGGGGACGGTCTCCCCTACCTGCCTAAGATGCAACTCAAGGATCTAACAGCTCTTTTCCATTCCTGAACAGCTGAGAACTGCTGTACAAACCATTACCATCATCTCCACGAAGTTTCTGTGCGACGAGTGTTTTTACGAAGCTGCAGGAGTGACTCAAGGAGACTCGCTCGCTAGGCAAGACCAGGGGGATTCATCCAAACCTTGAAGACTTCATTTTTTGTGACACATCCTTGTGTGAAAAATGGATGCAGCAGCATGAGCAGGGGGTGAATCCCAGTTTGCAGCCTCCAGCACAACGGGGCTATTGCCATAGAAATAATCATTAGCATGCGCTGGTAGCGTTTTACACTTACTCAGCATGGACAGCAGCGAACACCCTGTAAACACAAAGGTGGAGAAATATCTAACAGCAGCTTCTTGTGTGGCTTACCGATCCCTACGTGTGATGAAGGATGGGAAACAGCTAGCTGTCTGACACACAGCTCCCCTAGGATATCATATGGGCTAACGATTGACAGAAAAAAAACAGAATGGAGAGGTGAACAGAGGGGAAAATCTCACGAGAGGACAAGTCAGAGAAAAGGAAAAACTAAGAGAAAAGTGTGTGTATTACAGGACACACACTGATCCCACCATATTTTTTTAAGAGTGATTCCATCTTCATTATTTAGCATAACTGCTCTCATGGCATAACTCAGAAAGGTAAAACTCAAACTGCTCAAAGCTCTTTGCTTTGCACTACTCTTAGAAATAAAGAGACATAGGCTTCATCAGGAGAATGAAAGCAATTTTGCCAGTGTGAAAATTCATAAGCTTTTCCCTCTGCTCAGGGTGAAATGTATTCAAATGTACAGGCACCTTCCTGGAGCAGAGATACAACACGGCTCCTGCAAAGGGGGAGACGAGACCATGTGAAGGGACTCGCTGAAGGTTTGTGTAGACCATCATCAAGTCGCACACCTTCAGGGAGGACGAGCTGGGGAAAACTGCATAAACCAGAATGGTTCTTTCTCCCCATGGAAATGGGCACAGTCAGAGCAAATGTACATGTGTGTGTGTACAGGGTGGCATAGGAAAGGTGACAAATATAAGCCTGGGCTTGTCCTGAGACCCATTCTAGCATGAGGAAATGTGTAAATTATGGCCCACAAACTCGCATTCCTGAATAATGCTGCCAGTTCAGGTTGGGGTACAATTAGCAAGAGCTGGGCAGAGCTCTCTGGAGGGGTTTGAAAGGAACAGAAGCAGACTGGAGCTCGAGGAAAGGAACAAGAAAAACTCTCCGTAATTATGGACTGGATGTGTCCTCCCTCTCCCCGTTCCCTTCACTTCTCTATTTCTCTTCCTCCCCCTCTGCCTTTCTCCTCTCCACCTCCATTCACTGCTTCTGGGCACCTCTTAGCCCTGGAGTTAAATTAATCAACAGGATTAGGTGGAATCGGCCACAACAAGACCCTCCAGGCTCAGACTGAGCCCTTGATGCTCTACAAGGACCTGCTGCCTTGTCTTGAAGCACCTCGGTGCCGTCTGGAAGGATTGGCAGACAGGACCAGACATGAAAACGCATTCATTAAAGTGGGGATCGGATTTTGTTAAAGGGTAAAGGGGAGCTGAACGTTCTCTCCTTCAGTATTTCTCATCTCATTTCCTCTCTCTCTTTCTCTCTTGCTTCCAGCTGCACCATCCTAA